CAATATCATGGGAGGAAATGGTCTTCACAGATTGTTCACATCGTAGTGAATGAGTAAATGCTACTAGGATACACAACTGCCCAGAACATGTTAAGCCTGTTTATGGCAAGAACCATGTAGGACTTCAAACAAGAGAGCCTCGTGCACCTAGCTAGCTAAAACAAAGTCACATGCATTTCTGAATAAACGTTAAACTTTCTGTTTCAGAAAACATATTTAAGTGTGACTCATGAAGTGTCCTAAGTGATCATCACTTGTAATTCAGGACCAGAATAAGACAACAGCATGCTATCCTTGTCACAGGATCAGGCTGAACTGAGGATTGGGTGGTCCCAGTGTGACCTGGCTGATCATGTGTCACCTCACCCAGATGTGGAGCTCAGGTACAACCTGAGGTTTGCCTGGCTCAGGCTTCATACGCCACCATAATGGAGCTGAAAACCTTTTCTGAATTGGGGGTAAAACAACATTTACTTGTCATCAAAATGATTTTTGCATGCAAACAGACCCATGCAAGTGTTATTATTACTCCCACCTTGTTGTGACATTGACCAATTTGTGTAGAACATCTTAAGTTACAATACCTACTTTCAGGAACAGTTCCAAGACAATACAACTAAAAGGACATAAGTAACTGATATAACCTCCTTTTCACACAGAGAACTCCAGGGGCCAGAACTAGGAGACTATACGAAGACTATTTCAGTTACATTGGGGGCAGGGCCCTGTTCCACAACGTGTGTGCTACGTCTGTGGTAAGTCTATGGGAAAGTAGGAGAGCTATGATCATTAAAGAGAGAATATATGGTTGTCAACTTCTTTATTATGAGGAACACAATGTTCCGGAGTATATGCTTACGCCTTTATCAGGTGAATGAATGCCACGAGGCAGAGAGCATATATATGTACAGGTAAGGACAACAAAATGATAAGATAACAAATGGTGGAAAATAACAAAGGGTAGAAACTGTGGCTGCCCCACATTCAGCGCTAATTACTCTAAAGCTTAGGCTTCCATTGTCTATTGCTAATGGTTATTATTATTTTAAATATACACAGTCAACACTGCAAATAAAATAACACCATATTGGAATATATTATTCCTGATAAAATCATTGCACCAAAATTCTGTAAAATTATATTATTGGGTATGTTTTAAGCAAATCACCAGTAGATTTAGAGAAAACTTATGTACCGCTATACAGAGTTTACAAGAAACTACACGGAATTCGCTGGAGGGATACGATTTAGTTTTTTACTGCACATAATACTAGAAAAATCCTTTTTTCCAAAATATTGAATCCCCAAGGGCGGGAAGTGGATTATGCTTGGATGCGTATACTAAGGAAAATACGGTATTTTGTTGACAACAGCATGTGAGAAATGATGAATCAACACAACATCTGGTGCCCTCATCTCATGTATTATTGAAGACACTGCACAGATGTGTGTGTGTGTGTGACAAAAGATCTGCTTCTGTGCACAGCAGCCAGAACTCAACCTGGGCATTACTAGGAAAAACTTACATATTATTATCTTAATTTATTAATATTATTGACTTCATGTTTCCCATATCAGCATAGAGAGATTTTAACAGGATATTTTTATTGACAGATTAAAGTGGGAAGCTAAATACGACGCAGTTGTAGACATTCACATTTTCAGTGATCTCCACAAGCACAAGTATCGTAGGGTGCTAACAGACCGAGAATCAAGGCTTCAACCCCACAAACATAGGGCCCTGGAAGCCAAGGGACTGAACACTCAACAGTAACTTGCCATGTCCTTGACCACTATCCAGTGGATCAGCCACTGAGTGAGTGGGTGATCAAGTGAGAGGATATGCGCTGGATGGAGTTTGGGTGGACGGTCTTCTAAACACATGTCTTATCACTGCCATGTTACAATTGGTAGTAAATGACAGTTATTCCTTATCAGCAATGTTACAGCGATTAAAGGATTTACAGCATTTTAGGACATAATTATGTGCTGCAAGAAAATAATGTTTTTAATCTATATATTATCCATTGTATGTATTTCTCATATACCGTATTCGTTGTAATAATTGTCCAGGATGCTTACAAAATTGCTTGTTTAAACCAAACTCAAGAGAAATTTGTTTTCACAGGGTTAGAAAATCCACTCAACCGCTCGTATTGAGGTGTGGCAGCCTGTGCAGGGCGAGAAAGAACTGAATAATTGCTCGTCCTACCAGGCAAGTACATATATTTCAATCATATTAATTCCATCTCTAATCGTTTATATCAATAAAAAAATGCAAGATAATTTCAAACCTAAAATATGTTTTCAACTCTTGCATCTAAGTGATAACAACGAAATACATGTCACTCATATCATGAATAGACGACACACTTGACAACTGTCTGTTACAGAAATAAACAGGAAGTGCGTTTGCGCAGCAGGTATTGAAACTAGTTTTTATAGGGAGATTAATTAAAAAATTGTTTTTGTTGTGAACGACGTACAGATGCTCAAATGTCAAAGTGATAGTGAGCAGCTGATGATTGATTTTGGGAGGGAAATGGCTGACATACAGAAGTTTTTAAACGGGGATGGTGGGGTTAACGATAAAAAAACATGATTTAATTAACAAACAGGTTAAAAAAAAAAAAAAAATCGAAAAAAATGTATGACTGTGAAAAAAGAAAGCAAACCACAAGACGCCTGTTTGAGTGAGTTTGAATGAGCGGAGATAAATGTAGATGGCAGGGACTCTGAATTATTTTGTACTCCCTGCCGTAAATAACAAGAGGCCCATAGGGTCTGTATTGTTCACCTGGATATTTACGCAATCATGACAAAATGTACATTTGCATTGTACATGTATAAAACACTGCAAATATTTCGTAATTTTGACTCTGTAGGCATCTAAAATAGGTGGATGGCAAATCTGTCAGCATGAACGTGTATTCCTCTAGACACAAATGTAGCATAAAGATCTGAACCGTTTCCATATTATGATCCAGGATCTAAGTTTCCAAAAATTGTATTTATAGTTCTGCTAGGCATTGTTTTATATGCAGAACTTAATATTACCATGTATACTTCCTCATAAACTAAGCCGGCAATAGCAATCACATGTACACACATTTTCTACCAATGTACCGGTGATTCAGTTAAAAACTACACAATTATAACTTTGAATTTTGACGCAATGATCAGAAGAATTGTATTTGAAACTATTATTTTATCAGAAATAATGTATTCCAATATCGTGTTATTTTAGGCACAGCTTTTACCATATTTATTTAAAATGATAATAACCATGAGAGTAAATCTTTGGAACAGCTGATCGGTGTGCCAGATATTTTTTACATATAGAACAATTTGACCCGTCACCGGTGAGACTTCCCGCAGACTTGCCAAAATGTAATGTTGACATATAATTGTCAAACTACAACAAATATGACTCTTAATGAGAGAAAGTGTGGCATTTATGATACATGTATATGTATCCATTCTCTCTCAACTAAAGTCTGTTTCAAGGTGTCAATATCAGTACCCGGTAATCATGGTTGCTGTAAATAACGGTGAGTCACTTCACACAGGATTTCACCGAAATTAATTTAAACAAAACCGAATGAGTTTTGAATAAATTCAATAAAACATTTAATATTACAAACAGAAGTCCATATACACAATGAACACTATTTATAACCAGTGTAATAACAGGATTAAATTGTGGCAGTCTGAACAGATTTGTTGACACGGTATATCCGGTGTTACATGCTCACGGCAAAATGTCTTTAATTTGCGTATGGGGAAAAACATCGAAACTCCTTGTGGTGTGTTTTATGGAAAGATAAGTGCACACTATAGTCAAGAAAACATGATATTTATTATGAAAGTCACTCTTGATGTTATTCTGTCCACCAGTCATTGTCAAATATGAAGTGGGCGTGACCAAAACATAAATGTCTGAATGCCTAAAACAGTTTTCTGGACGCCTGGTCCAAACAACAATGAAACTAAAATGTTTTCAAACATAGTTACTAGGTAATTCTTTTCCCCTTCTAAGCTGTTTTCTGTATTATACAGGAGAAAATGTGGAATGTGAAATGTGTAATTGTTTTTTCTTAGTAGGGGGTGCTCATAAAGATTACTTAAAGATTGGTCTGACCAATCAGGATCTTTATCAATATCCGACCAAGTCAAATCTGATTAATCCAGGCATCCTTTGCTCATCATTCTGGACTGAACTTGGGGGACTGAGGAGGAATTTATCATGTAATTGATGCTCTTTAATCTGGATTAGCTAGGCACACATCTCACTCACACATCCTGTAAGCTGCAATTACAATCCATTTTGTCTTTGAACCTGTGTGTTCATATCGTGACTTGACATCACAGGACACAACTTCTGCTAAATCTCACAAATCAAGACCACTGTCTGAACCTGACTATGGGGCAGATAGTTTAGTCCAGTATATTCCTTGTAGCTGTACACGTATATATTCACTATCATCTGCAGGCATACATCTTCTCTACTGAAAGCTACATTCATATGACAGTACAGACATTGCAAACAAATACCCACTTTCTGAAAATGTGCCTGAAATATATATTCCACTAATTGGTTACTACTGCAGACTAAATGTCAGCCGACCGGTAGTTATCAAGCCTTGTTAAACAAAGATGCTAGCTGATAATGCAGAGATGATTGATCACATGTATTAATGCCACTCTCACAAAGCAATTACATTGAAGTAACATTTATCGCAATGTGACATTAACAACACACAACTCCTTGTAGCAAGCATTGTATCATCTACTTCGTGTCCACAGAACCTTTCAAACAATAACATCAGCAGCATGCAAATACATATGACTTCAGATTTCGAGAATTATGGTATATCAAGAATGACAAATGTGTCGTAGGATGGGATTTGAACCTGGCCCCAGTGTGTACTGGAGTAACACACTAACCGCTTGGCTACCCTACCGCTTACCAGGGTCAAGGAATGGGAAGGAAGTGTTACCTTGGTGATATTGTTGACAAACACCTCCCTAGGCTCTTCCCCTGTGGCATCAACAACCTCAAATTCATCCCCCAAGTCAACGAAGACACTGCCAAACACGCCATACACATCAGACGAGATGAACTGAAATCAAACACTGCTAATGAAACACTTGGAATGTATAATCCTTCTTACAAATGTGAATTTCTCATAAATGTTAACCTAAAAGGCAACACTAGGGAAAAAACAAATCTTCCAATAACTACTGTAGCCCAAACTACTGTATCAAAGAAAGACACAGTAATCACTAATTAATCATCAAATGATAGGGTTGACCTAGTTTGATCTACCGAGTTTTCTGTTTTCTTCCTTCATAAAGACAAACACGTCCATGGGAAGTACAAAACTGATGCACTTACATGAATCTGAGGTGACTGTTCCCGACAGAACTTGTTGACTCTCACTTGAACCGGCAGAGGGCACTCTGTTAGAATGATGCACTGAAAAAGGATGCAAAACTTGATGAAAACACATCGCAAGAGTTGTCCCTCAACTCTCCAACACATACAAGGGGGTCAACGTGAAACCCCCCAAATCTTCCAGGCTTTCTAATGTCTAATGTTATACTGTCATGGATCGGAAACAGAGCAGTGCAGTCAGGGAAAATAAATGAAGTGAGCTTTTTTTTTTGTTTTGTTTGTTTGTTGTTAACGCCGTACTCAGCTATACTCCAGCTATATGATGGCGGTCTGTAAATAATCAACAATCCAGTGATTGACATAATGAGCATTGATCTACACAATTGGGATACGATGACAGGCATCAACCAAGTCAGCGAGCCTGACCATCCCATTCCCTTAGTTGCCTCTGACGACAAGCAAACTCGCCTTTTACGGCAAGCATGGGTTGCTGAAGATCTATTCTCAACCCAGATCTTCACGGGTCTTCTACATATGAATACAAGTAATGATGCCGGACTTTCTTGGCACTCCACATCTCTTTTAACAACAGGAAAATAGCGTTATCACTATCCCCCGCCATGAGGCACATTAGAAGTTTGTTTGTTCATATAGCAGTGAACATAAACTATAAAAAAGAGCCCAATACAGCCTTAAAAAGAGATATCAACTTGGGCCATTTTTTGTCATCAGAAAAAATGATTTAATATGAAATTAATACACACAAAAGGCCCTTTCTCTGAAACAAATAACTCAGTGTTGATAAGTATCTCTTTGATAAGCTTACTTCAGTTGTTTCTCAGAAAACTTGCGCCCATTGCACAAATAACATGGCACCAAGTTGAAAAATACATGGCAAGGGCCATAACTCTGTAAAAAATTAATTGACAGGACCGATTTTCAAACTCAGTCTTGACAAGTATCTCTTAGATAAGCATGCTAAGTTTCATTCGTGTAAGTTCAGCAGTTTCAGAGAAAACTTGTCCCGATTTTCAAAGTGATGTCATAATGATCATCACATTTTATGAAGTGATATCATAATGACCATCATCACAGTTTATAAAGTGATATCATAATGATCATCTCATTTTATGAAGTGATATCATAATGATCATCATCACATTTCTTGAAGTGATATCATAATGATCATCACATTTCTCGAAGTGATTGATATCATAATGATCATCATCTCATTTTACGAAGTGATATCATAATGATCATCACATTTTACGAAGTGATATCATAATGATCATCACATTTCTCGAAGTGATATCATAATGATTATCACATTTCTCGAAGTGATATCCTTTTGATCATCACATTTCGTGAAGTGATATCCTAATGATCATCATATTTCTCGAAGTGATATAATCATCATCATCATCATAGTCTTATCATTGATATCATAACAACCACTTGCGATTTAATCACTGATATCATTATAGCTCAGCATAGTTTACACTGTGATCCAACCAGTCACAAACGCTACTTTACAGTGGTCCTATTAAGCGATAATTAACTGACCTGGTGTGTTTAACAAAGTGACTCATCAACACAAAATGCTAATTATGACACAGCCACTATCAACAAGGTTAGGGAAGGACAGAAGTATCAGTTATCAAGGACTGTTTCAAGCATCACACAGTATTTGATGGGGTGCTAAATGCTCACCAAATCAGCCCCATTGAAGATGATTGATGTCACTGACTTAAATTTACTTGACAAAGAGATCACATTATCTAAATTTCAGCAATCAAATGCACTTTGGAAGTTGTCCAGACGATCCAATCTCATACATTTGGGAAAATGGTGTTGTAAAATGTTTACTTTTAAACAACTTTGATAATCTAATTTTAGTCAAATCTTGCTTCCCTTCAAACTGCTCCTGAGGACATCAAAGAAAACCAAAAGCAGTTTGTAGATATCCAAGAATTCTTAAACTAGGAGTCGTTTTATCACGCCATCAAAGGATCTGTTTTGATACAATTAAGAAGTTGCCTGAAGGATAAGAGAAATTATTTTGAAATGAAGCCAGAGCCTCGTTAATTATTGGTGTTGCATGATCTGTGGGCCTGTTGTCGACATTGATCTGTAACGTACAACCTGTGGTGGGAATTGCACTTCTCAGGGTAATCAACAAATGGTGCCTGACTCAAGCATTAATGCTGCCTTCCAGACAGAGGGATGGATGAGAGGCTTCGCTGACCACTGACTCATGACTACCTGATTCTTTGTCCACCATCTCGGTTGGGCAGAATACTCACGACTATTTAATGTTGTGCCACGAAACCATGCAGTGATAGGGAAGCTGGGATTACTGAACCAAACAAAACTGGATCAAGGTCAAATAGTCTGCAAGAAGAAGTCCCTTGGCGCCCTGACAATATTCTTGTCAATTATTAATTGCCATTCATTCTTTCTCAAAATTGTACCATTTTTTAATACCACAACTTGTTCATCAACAAAGTGCTTAATCTCTGCAAATTTAATGAATTGTCACAAATAGAATTGTGTGGCCCAAAACACTTAGATCAGAGCTTCAAAGTGATTATTCTAGTATCAAGCTACATAACAGTAACCACTGGTATTAATGTTTACAATGGGATAAAGTAGGTGCATAATTCATGGGGCAATTATATCACAAAAAACTCCAATTAACACTCTCCATTGCCCTACATTGACATCATTAAAGTGCTGACTTGGATGAAAATGACATTTATACACAAATACCAGTTAATAAGCATTATCTACAAGACTGGAATGTATGCTACACTCTGTGCAAAGGCTGTCTGCACACTACTGTCACTCCTTCACATAACACCAAACATAATCCTCATATAAATAATGGCACTGTCGTTCACCTGTATATGTAGTTTATACTCATGATGTCATTCACTGGATGGTCTGGTCCAGACTTGATTATTTACAGACTGACGTCATATAGCTGGAATATTGCTAAGTGCAGTGTTAAACAACAAACAAACAAACTAAGTTGTTGTCAGCAGTCATATTGAAATATGTTATGTGTAAGTACTAAACTGTAATGATTATAACAAAGTATGATGTGAACTGTTTGAATGGCATTCAAGAAGATGGTGTGTTCTATGATGTCATCACAAGAAGAACCATACATGCCACAGCTCCATCAGTCTGGCACTGTCAGAAAAGATGTTTACAAAGTCAAACATGCATTTAAAGAAAATTTGAGAGCTTTGTCAAAACAAGGTCAAAATGTAAAACTTAACAAAAAGCAGAACATCTATTTGAGTTCCACAACCAACTAAAGGCAACATTTCATTATACTCTAAACATAAATGGCAGGTCAAAGGCCATAAATAGATTCTTCAATAGAGCTGCCATGGAGGTACATCTCTTGAACACAAAGGGGTGTCATTTGTTCAATCACTGTTGGGAACAAGCGTGTGATGTTTCCGTTTAACTAGTCCAGTGGTGTCTGAGGAGACAAACAGCCCATGACATAAGCTCACTTGACTTTTAGTCAGGTGAGCAAATAACAAATGTTGTGTCATTATGTGATCATAGACAGACAGACCTGCCTTAAAAAATGGTAAATTCCTTTCATAGAACTGGAGGAATTCTATTCATAAATCTGAACAGCTTGTCCAAAGACTGACAGATATATTTTCATGTTTACATGTACTGCTAAGCACTGCAAACAAAACACACATCCTACAGAATAGCTGCAAGACAACTGCAGTTCATCATAATAAGCTTTCACATCTTTACACTGGAAATATGCCACAAACAACTTTCCGTTCATTCTGTTGGAAGGAAACAACACTGGCTTTCATTATATTTTGCTCTACCTAATGGAAATTTCTTTCGATGGACCCATTTACATAAAATAAGTGATCCTTATGAATGTTGAGTATTCAGGTGTCTGCAGAGCGACAGAGGGCTAATTGTACAATCAAACATAGAAAGTTTACAAGAACATAGTACTTGTGCTGGACACTCACCTGGAATAGCTTCAAGTAGGACAAGTCAGAGTGCTCATCCAGACTGTCAGTGAGGGTGTCCACGCTTACGTAGGGGTTCAGCTCAGACAGGCGGGAACAGCAGGCCTCAGCTCTGTGGGTGAAAAGCAACCTCTACATTCTGTTGTTAGTATCAGTGAGGGAGGGAGGGAGGGAGGGAGGAAACGAGCATCATAATGCTTCATGAGTTTTTTTTCATTTAAGAAATGTACTGAATATGTCAATAGTATGAATTATGCAGTGAGAACCAGGGTGTGACCAGAACATTCCGCGGTCTTATGGCCTATGGTGTTCCCCAATCAGAAAACCCTGTTTCCCATTTGCAGCAACTACCATCAAATGATGATTTACATAATGATGAATAGTTCAGAGTTCAAAACAAGTACAAGTAACAATATAAGGCATACATAATTTTTCTAAAATTGTACATAATTACATGAAATCTCTCATTATGATTGCAATTATTTCATCAACAAACACATTGTTGAATGCCACCTGAAGAAGCCACTGTTGTACCAGGAATGCTTATCAGAAACATGCATCCGATGTTGACCACAACTAAGTGATGTTCATCTGTCCAGACTCAAGCACATTACAGCAGATACTGATCTACTGGGTGTACACTTGCACAATGTGTCAATCCAGCACCAATAATTACATTATCTGACAGAAATATAATAACGTTAATAACACAACCCAGGCCAGAGCACAGTAACTAGGTAACAGCGACAATGTGGCCATTATAGGATGCAAGAGCTTTTCCAACATTGATTACTAATTAGAGATAATCCAGTGCTCCAATTTGGCCTGAACAAGAGTAAAATAATAGATGTTAGTGGCAACCAAAATAGGCTGCAGGTGAGTAATTGTTCTGGCAGGACTGTAGGACTACTCAGGAGTATGAATGGCAATTAAGAATTATCTTCTTGCAGCCATGTGGTGATCCCGTCATGCCAGGATGTAAACCAGGTATCCATGTAGTGAGTGAGTGAGTGAGTGGTGCGGTGCGATGCGTGTGTGTGTGCATACAGAGTCCATGCTGTGCATCCATGCTGTGCGAGTGACTGCTTGTACTAGTCCGGCTGATTTTATAGTGCTAGCCCAATGAGATCCCATTCTGCAGCTTAACATGAATACCCCACTCACACACAGTATACTGACTCCGAGCCGACCAGTCTTTGTTTTATCCCTTAATGAAGCGCAGACAGGGTAACAACAAGTACCATCTTTTAATGTCTTTTGGTATGACGCATACTAGGATCGAACCCCCGACCTTCCATGCATGGGGAGGACGTCCTACCATTAGAAATGGATATTATTTACATCCATTCTTATTTTTTAATGAAATGGCAAAATCCTGCTAATAACCTTAATGTTCCTAATCATCTGTGCAGGAACAATGGTTTCCAGAAATTCAGTAAATTCATCAGCAGATTTTGACACATATCGCTTACCAAATTACTTCCTTCTGCCTAAAAGATTCCCTGAATTACATTATAAAAACATGCATATATTAACTATATTTTCTGTCATTCACCAAATGGTTTTATACATCAGAGGACATGGAATCTAAGTTGAAACATGTAAAACCAGTTCAACTGTTCAAGATCCTTGACTCCAGATCTGAATTTAAATGACTTTGGCACCATTGCAAACAGAACCACATCCTGAAATCAATAGAAAAACGATAACCCCCCTGTCTGGAAGAATAATTGATGCACCAAGATGGGTGATGTTCCGCAACAATCCTCATCTTCAACATCATAAAATCAAGAGGCTTTTCTACACAAGCAAATTGGCACTAGCAAGAGTCAGAGTCAGTTTGTCAAAAAGAAAGTAAAAGGGTCATTAGAACATCAGGACTTGTATTTCCTTATGTTTATAAGGCTATTCAGACCAGTAAATATTTCAGGCTAATTTGCATCCCTGCAGTTTTCACATAACAAGCACAATGTTAATTTGTTACAAACACAATCGCAGCTAGAAAATCAGGCAGATCTGATGGAATAGGCAGAATAGGCCGGGTGAGCAAGGATATCCTTGACCAGAGGACAGAATATCACTGCCGGGGAAACTGAGAATATTATACACCAGGGAAACTGAAAATATCACACCCAGGGAAACTGAGAATATTATACACCAGGGAAACTAAAAATATCACTTCCGAGGAAACAGAATATAATACACCAGGGAAACTGAAAATATCACACCCAGGGAAACTGAGAATATCATACACCAGGGAAACTAAGAATATCACTGCCGAGGAAACAGAATATTATACACCAGGGAAACTGAAAATATCACACACCAGGCAATCTGAGAATATCACAGTCGGAGAGACTGAGAATATTTTACACCAGGGAAACTGAGAATATCACTGCTGAGGAAACTGAATATATAATACACCAGGGAACATGAGAATATCACAGCCAGGGAAACTGAGAATATTATACACCAGAGAAACTGAGAATATTTTACACCAGGGAAACTGAGAATATCCCTGCTGGGGAAACTGAGAATAACATACACCAGGGAAACTGAAAGAATTATTCACCAGGGAAACTGAGAATATCACTGCCGGGGAGACCGATAATATCCTCGAGTATGAAAACTGATGATATCATAGACTGGGGAGACAGGGAATATTATTGCCCAGGAACACTGAGAATATCATTGAGTAGGAAGGCTGAAAATATCATAAACAGTGAGACTGAGAATAACATTGACAGGGGAGACTGAGACAGTGAGAGAATCATTGACTGCAGAGACTGTAAAGGTTATTGACCAGTTAGACTGGAAATATTATTAAGCAGGGAGACCTAGAATATCATTGGCTGGGGATACTGAGAAGGATATTGACCAGGAAGACTGGGAATATCATGTAGTTGGGAGACTGAGGATATTGACCAGGAAGACTGGGAATATTATGTAGTAGGGAGACTGACAAGGATATTGACCAGGAAGACTGGGAATATTATGTAGTAGGGAGACTGAGAATGATATTGACCAGGAAGACTGGGAATATTATGTAGTAGGGAGACTGAGAATGATATTGACCAGGAAGACTGGGAACATTATTTAGTAGGGAGACTGAGAAGGATATTGACCAGGAAGACTGGGAATATTATGTAGTAGGGAGACTAAGAAGGATATTGACCAGGAAGACTGGGAATATTATGTAGTAGGGAGACTGAGAAAGATATTGACCAGGAAGACTGGGAATATTATGTAGTAGGGAGACTGAGAATGATATTGACCAGGAAGACTGGGAATATTGTTTAGTAGGGAGACTGAAAAGATCATTGACCAGTGGGGTGGGAATATTATTGAGTAGGGAGACTGAGAAGGATATTGACCAGGAAGACTGGGAATATTATTGAGTAGGGAGACTGAGAAGATCATTGACCAGTGAGACTGGGAATATTATTGAGTAGGGAGACTGAGAAGGATATTGACCAGTGAGACTGGGAATATTATTTAGTAGGGAGACTGAGAAGATCATTGACCAGTGAGACTGGGAATATTATTGAGTAGGGAGACTGAGAAGGATATTGACCAGTGAGACTGGGAATATTATTTAGTAGGGAGACTGAGAAGATCATTGACCAGTGAGACTGGGAATATTATTTAGTAGGGAGACTGAGAAGATCATTGACCAGTGAGACTGGGAATATTATTGAGTAGGGAGACTGAGAAGGATATTGACCAGTGAGACTGGGAATATTATTGAGTAGGAAGACTGAAACAAATACTGACTGGGGAGACATTGAGAAGGTCATTGACTGGGCAGACTGAGAAGGTCATTGACTGGGCAGACTGGTTCACTTTCATCAAATTCCCTCTGTGTCTTCACTGTGGGGGAAATATTCCACAGAATAATATCCAATTGTTGTGGCTGGGATATATGTTTGTCCAAGTATGATCAACAAATAACCTCATATATACAGTTGTGAAATTTTTGGGAACATATACCAAGAACCTGTAATATGTGAAAGCATCCACTGCTTCACACTTGAACCTTCCATTCCTTTAACTGGCAAGTGACAAAATTAACAGGAATACTCTTACCCAGCCATTTTCTCAGTGGAAATATATACACACAACAGCTTGACATTTCCTAAATAGTTTGGAGAAAACCAGGCAATGATACACTTCCTACATGGAATACAGTGTTGCGCTTGTATAACCATAAGTCTGTATTCATACACTGATGCTTCCTCAACCTCCACCATAAGAGGATAATTATGGGCACTGTTAATGGCCTAATCATCTCAGAAACATTAAGCACAATACATTATCCTAAGTGAACTTGTGATAGATTAATTAAGGCCAAAGCCCCTAGAGTGTCTCTGGATGGAAAAGAGAACACTGTAATAATTCCCCTTGGTCATCCCGAGCATCATACAAGTTGGAACACTTCCAGGAATATCTTCAGTCTGCAGTGCTGAAGTCATTTTGGACACACTTGGACGAAAGTAATCTATATTTATCATTGAATGGGATTAAGGATTTTAGTTGTCAAACAATTATTTTAGCATGATGGATATGCTAACTAGCAGTGTCTGCATCATCAACTTTGAAATGATGCAAGAGCTGTGGCTCAATGTATTGTCAGCTGTTTCAAGAATTAACTCACAGAACTTGACATTTACAAACTACAGATGTAGAAGAATATTTGTGCAATGCTTCACTAGCCCTGTAGTAATAAGAAATAAGTCAAGGTTGGCTTGTTGATTGATGGGATAGTTATACTTGGGTAGGCTTTGGCTGACATTCCAATGACATGTTTCTGATATGGGCCTTTGAAGGGTTTTTTAAGGCTTTATTCCTGGGTAGAACTCAGGGTGCCGGTATGCCACGCTTCTTGTGGGAGCACACCTCCTGGGGATTGGGTGGACATAATGGCTGGCATGAATAAAAGTGAGTGAGTTTGGTTTAATGTTATTTTGAATAGTATTTCAGTTATATCCCAGGATGTCAGTGTGATGTGGGAGAAAAACCTGATGCAGGTTTTTACTACTTTGGTGAAACCCACAAACATGGATATGGTGCTGACAAACCTAGAAACATAAATAGGGCGAATCTTATATTTGA